GGGAGGAGCGGGGAGGCAGTGGAGAGACACACAGGAAATTAATCACACGCGCAAGGACGCAACGCGAGGGGAGTGCCCCCCGGGACCGAATCGGCCGTAGAGTGGCCGCTTAATGTTGCACCGGCGGCCCCCGTGCGGGGCCCTCTCCACCGATGAACTCACCCCGGGCCCTCCTGAGTCTCTGGGGCGTCGCGAGATGAACCTCGAGCGGCGAATCACCTGAACGCGCGGCTTCGCGGGGCCCGCCCACGGGGGCCCCTCCCGCCCCGCCCCGGCGCGCAGCGCAGCATGCACTTCGACCGAACCGCGCACCAACTGGCGCCTCAGGAACCCAAGAAGGGCTCGTTGGAGCATACATCCAACTAGCAGCATGCCCATTTCTGGCCTGGCAGACGCGGCGCGCAAAGCGCCGGCACCCGGATTCTCAGAATAAATCCTGAGCAGCCTCAAATGCCCCCTTTGACGCTGGGAGCGCACGATCAGATGCGAACGACCACATGCGCATTCAATAAACAGGCGCGCGGAAAGGAAGAGGGCACCAGGCGACGCGACCCCGTCGTGGAAGACCGGGGTGCAACGATGCGAAAGGCAAGCAAAATTAGGCAGCAATCATCGACCTCCCATTGATTCTTGCGCCCGCTAGACGCACGCCACGACTGGGCAACGTCGATCCCGTGCGCCTGAACTTCTTGACAGCGCGCAAACGTCGCTCGCTGCCTGAAACTGGGAATGACAACGCACCTTCGACACAGAAGGGGCGACCATGCGCTCTGGCCTATCCAGGCCCGAAGCAGCACCATTGACTCTGCCCCACCCAGAGACCGATCAGTTTCGAAATTGGCCGAAGAGAACGCGCCCACGAACGCGCTCGACAGACTCGGGGCACCATCGCCCAATACCACCGCCGTTTTATACGCAAGCATAATGAAGTCACCATGCACGCACGCATAATTCAGTCACCATGCGCAAATGCGCATTCGGCGACGCTGCGGGCACGCCCACAACGCGCTGGCATCTCCAACCAGAACCCCATCCAGCACCGAGGCCTGGTCGTCAGAGCGCGCTGCCACGCGCGAAGGGCAATCCGACATACCGCGTAGAAAATGAAACTCCCACTTCTCATCCCTAGCGCCCCCCCCCCCCCCCCCGACCCAGCACGGGCAGTCTTCTCGATGGCGCAGAAGCTAAAACCCAAAATCCGAATGAAGGGCAGATGAGCTCGCGCACGCCCGAAGCTACACCCCACGGCTGCAGCAGGGCCCCCTCGTCTCCCAGGCGATTCAAGATGCGCCAGGCAACGCGACTGCAGGGGCAGGGGGACTCATGGCGCCCGACGCGGGCACGGCGCTCAAGAAGCGCAAAATGGGGAGAGCCGAAAACAAACTCGCGCATTAACCCGACGAAGGCCTCGACGACGCCCACAAACAAGAAGCGCGCCGACCACCCGCGCTTTCCAGCATGCGCCACCACGCTCTGCACACGTGCGCGCGGCATGTCGTGGGCCCGAACTGAGTAGTAGGCATCTGCTCGCTACGCGCTGGGTCGACGCCCCCTGGGCACCCGACAGACAAATCCCCTCGCTCATCAAACGCGACAACTCCTCGGCAGTCGCCCCGTTCCGCGCGGGCGCCCTTCCCCTTGGCGCATGGCCGCGGAAACAAAGCGGTTCACATTGGAGTTCTCGATGCGGGGCCACTCGCCTGCTGGGGGAGCTCCGCCGAGGGCCCGTCACGCCCCGCCCCTTCGGTTCCCCCGACCATCTGGAGAGCCCCGCGCGCGGCCTCAGGGGAGATGTCGGGACTCGCACTCCTCATCACACTGGAAATTGATAATATAATCTCATCGAGGCTCTTGACATTGACCTTGGGAATCCCGCTGTTGCGCTGCGCGCATCTGCGCCCGCAGCGAGCCCCGCTCAACCTAAGAAGCCGCGCGCGCACCCGGTTCATTTGAACGTGAGAGTTCACGCGAACCCCTTTTGGCAACAAGCGGACAACCTCAGACGCGCCCCCGAAGCTGCCGCCCAAAGCTTGGCGATCTGGGCCATACGCGCGCTGCTCCAACATGAGGGTAAAAACGATGTCGCACAACTAGTTGACGGCTTTTGTTTCTGAAGTTGGCTTGAGCATGCGTGGCGCATCAACACACTTGCGCTCAGAACACGCATGCGCGCATGAGCGCGTCCTCCGCCACCACCGCACACCCACATCTACACGACGATGCGCACGGGTATGGCACGCACGTCTGCGCCAGAAAACAAGAGGCAACTCGGGGCCGACGCTGCAGCTGAAACAGGTCAGGCACGTTACGCCTGAGCGGAGCATGTCACCTTGCCCCGTCCAGATGCGATACGACATCCATGGCTCCAAAGTGGCCTGCCGAATATGCTATCTGACATGTTCTAGCTGTTCTGCGCTACCGCCTCCACCGCCTGATACTCCGACATTTCATTTTGAAACACTTGTCTTCTCCTTGAGTCATCACGACTGCGACGGTCGAACCTGGTTGCAGGAAAAAGAGATTGGTTACCAAAAACTTGCGAAGCCAGCGCCTTGCACCGAACTGCTCGAGCTGCGACCCCAGCTATGCACGGTGATCACTTGCATGGTCAAAATAGAACGCAAGTCAGCATCCACCCAAATACAAATTGCTGAGGAGAACCAGGCCTTCGGAATGAGTGCAGCCTAGTTGGCCTGTGTCTCCCTGTGGTTGCTATGCCCACTCTGCTCCGCGAAAGGTGTTGGCAGCCATGATGCGTTGACCCTCCAGCGTCAAACGAACAAGCCCACAGCTGGCGTGTTCGCGCGCCCCCACGCGCATTCGCGTCCAGGACCATCAGCACGAACGAAGTAAAGTACATCTGCCCTCACTGGGTGATCGCGTCCCCGAATAAGGCCCAGAAGCGTTGGTCAACCTCAGGCTTGTCATGTGAATGTGGTGCGTGAGCGGCCACCGAAAGCGGCGCTGCCCAGGCTTCCGTGCGGAACTCAATATCGTAGCTTGCCCACAAAAAATACAATCAACGTCTGTCATTCGCCGACGCACAGTACATACCGTAGAGAGTGCCCGATCGAATACGTTCCGACGGGATTCTTTCCCCCTCGAATACCGATCCAATGAATGCCTGCATGCTAAAATTGGACCTCCAGTGAAGCGATCTTCAACACCAATGGTGTTCCCATTACCTTGGTTAGCTGGCGAACTTCTGCTTGGGGTACACGCTCCATGTCGCCAGTCATGCGTTCACGGAAGATAATGTGCGGTTCACGTTGGCGTCGGGGACTCCGAAATCGCTGGAATGCGTTATCTTATGTGTGGGCTTTGCGTCTGCGATGACCCTCGTGTGGGCTTTGCGTCAAGGTCTCCGGGGAGCTGACCTCCAGCGCCTTCGTCTCAAGCTCCTTCAGCTCCTCTTCGCGCTGGTCCGCCTCCTCGATAGACTGCTCCAACTCGGCTTGCACATTGGCCGACCTTTCCTGGCAAGTGGCCTGACGCTTCCGTTCTCGGCCCAGCGCACACACGAAACCAGTTTCGCCACCTCCTCCTCCTCATCATCATCAGCAGCATCGTCATCAGCATCAACATCATCATCAGCATCAGCGTAATCATCATCACCATCACCATCACCATCACCATCGTCATCATCATCGTCCTCATCATCATCATCATCATCATCATCATCATCATCATCATCATCATCATCATCATCATCATCATCATCATCATCATCATCATCATCATCATCATCATATTCATCCGCATCATCATCAGCATCGTCATCAGCATCAGCATCATCATCGCCATCACCATCACCATCACCGTCACCATCATCATCATCATCATCATCATCACCGCGCAGAATCATCAGCATGAGCAGCATCATAATCAGCACCATCGCCATCATCATCCGTAACAGCAGCATCAGCATGGTCAGCGTCACCATCATCAGCAGCATCATCCTGATCATCATCATCATCACAATCATCATCATCATCATCATCATCATCATCATCATCATCATCATCATCATCATCATCATCATCAGCATCGTCAGTATGATGATCATCGTCATCTCCATCATCAGCAGCAGCATCATCATCATCGTCAGTATCATCGTCCTCATCATTATCCCCATCCTCACCCTCACCCTCACCCTAATCATCATTCTCATCCTCATCCTCACCCTCACCCTCATCGTAATCCTAATGATTATCCCCAATTCATTTCCCTTATAGAGAACTCCTCCCTGTCGCACCCCGAGGCCAGTTTTTAGGGCGGGCGAGGCGTTTCGCCTGAGACTTCCTCACCACTTCTGACTCTGAAGCTCAGAAGTGACAACTGCTTCACGAATCGAGGGCGGGTGATTTTCAAAGTGTGACTCTCGCCTGAGCGCCGCGCACATTGCTTTAAACTATTTGCAAGAGCATCACGGATTGAGGGCGGGTGGTTTTCAAGATGTGGCTCTCGCCTTAGCGCCGCGCACATTCGTTTTTAAACTTGCCAGAGCTTCACGGATTGAGGGCGGGTGGTTTTCAAAATGTGACTCTCGCCTTGGCGCCGCGAACAGTGGCTTTTTCACGGATTAAGGGCGGTTCCTTTACAAAATGTGGCTCTCGCCTTAGCGCCGCGCACATTCGACTTAAACAATTGCAAGAGTTTCACGGGTTCCCATGATCAACGTACCAGAAATGACGTTTTGGAAGGATTCAGGATTATGCGGGCGCAGCATGTATGTTGATTCGCTGGGTTGAAGTCCCAGGAATGGCGGTCTGGCACGATTCTGGATCGTCAAGACGCAGCAGACAGGTTGATACGTGGCGTTGAAATCCCGAGAACAATGTTTTGCCACGCTTCAGGATCGTCAAACTGTTGTCTTCCAACGAAGAGGGAGCTTGGAGGGAGGGTTAATGCCAACATCGTTGATGACTCTTGGGTTTCCACTGGTCCTTATCCTCGTCCTCATCCGCATTCTCATCCTCATCCTCCTCCTCATCCTCCTCCGCGGCCTCGGTCCGCCTCGCGCCCAGAGAGAAGGAAGTACGCGTACGGTTGGCGCTCTTCCAGCGCACAGTCCCACAACGCAGTGCGAGGCGGGCCCATCACCGGATCTCCAAGCACTCGAGCGTGAACTCCAGCGTGCCACCCGGCGGGATGCCCCAGGCCGGGAAGCCCTGGGAGCGAGCGGGTGCGAGGATGATCTAAGAAAATAGAAGAAAAGCGAGATCGAGGAGGATCGAGGAGGATCGAGGAGGATCGAGGAGGACAGAACGTCGCGGAGGATCGAGGATGATCACAGAAGATGATCGAGGAAGTTCAAAAAGAAGCCAAGATCGAAATCAGGATGCAGGAAGAGGATTCGAGGATGAGAAGAAGGGGCTTCAAAAGGATCGGTTGCCCCTCTGGGCCTCCCGAAGCCTCTGGCGACTTTTGGATGAGGGACCCCGAAAACCTTCGGACACCTCTGAGGCGTGGAGGACGAGGAAGACATAGGAGGAAGGGAGACAAGGGAGGACGCGGGAGGGGGAGGAGGAGGAGGAGGAGGAGGAGGAGGAGGAGGAGGACTAGTGTAAACCCAAGACTCATCAACGATGTTGGAATAAACCCTCCCTCCAAGCTCCCCATTCATCGGCCCCATACAAGGATTCATGTCCACTGGGGGAACTGCCCGGTTGGGAGACAACCGTTTGAAGATCCTGAAGCTTGCCAAAACACCACTCTCGGGACTCCAATGCTACGAATGAACCTGAATGTTGCGGCTTGACGATCCTGAGTCGCGCCAGAACGCCATTCCTGGGACTTCAACACCGCGAACCAACGTAACTGTTGCGCCTTGACAATCCTGAGTCGTTCCAAAACACCATTTCTGATACGCTAGCCATGCGAGTCTGGGAAACTCGTGTAATTGTCAAGACGAATATCACAGTATGAAAAAGAAAAAGACGAGAGCCATATGTTGAAAATGATCCGCCCTCAATCCGTAAAACTCTTGCAGGGGTTGAAAGCAGGTGGGCGAGGAGCCAAGGCGAGAACAACATTTTGGAGGCGGCCCGCCCTCAAACCGTGAACGTGAACTCTTGCAACATACTTATACGAATGTGCTTGGCGCCAAGGCGAGAGCCACATTTTGGAAGCGGCCCGCCCTCCATCTGTGGAACTGTTGCCAATTCACAGCTCCAGGATCATAAATGGTGAGGTGGTCTCAGGCGAAGCGCCCAGCCCGCCTTTTCGACCAGCCTCGGGGTGCGACAGGGAGGAATTATTCATAAAGGAATAGAGGAGGAGGATGAGGAGGAGGAGGAGGAGGAGGCTGAGGAGAGAAGGGGAGGAAATGGAGGAAGAGGAGGCTGAGGAGAGAAGGGGGGGATCAGGTGGAGGAGGAAGAGGAGGAGGAGGAGGATGAGGAGGAGAAACAACCCGGGGTCAGCCGCGCCGAGCAATCCGCGCGAGCCGTCTGTTGGTTTTGTCGGTTGCCATTTTGATGGCGACCGGAGCTGCCTATGCGGCCAGGGTGATCCGGGCCTCAAGAGGCCAACAGAGAGCCCAAGACAGCGCCAGAGGGCCCAAGACGCGACATGCTCCAAGAGGGCTCCAAGAAGGCTCCAGCACGGCCCGTCACTGCCCAAGGGTGACCCGGGGGCCACTTCGGCTGAACATCCTTTCAGCGCGCTGCGCGGGTGGCGGTTTGGCTCATTTATCCGCTGAGCGGATGATCCTTTTCATGCTGTGAATGCTTCGGGCCTTCCCCTGTCACGTAAGGAGAAGGATGGTGAAGAAGAAGAAGGAGAAGAAGAATATTAAGAAGAACAATAACAATAAGAATAAGAGGAATAAGGAGGCGAGGGGCCCTCCCGGGGAGGGGGGAGGGGAGGGGGGAGCACCCGTAATAGCGGTCAACCCGACTGAGGCGAGCTGGCCCAAGGCGCTTCACAGTGCACCCACAGCTGAAGCCGAAGCCAAAGCTAAAGTGCACAGAAAAATGGAGAGGGCCCACCCGCTGAAGTGCACTGAAGCCGAAGCCACAGCTGAAGCCGAAGCCAAACCTGAAGTGCACAGAAAAATGGAGACAATGAGGAGGAAGAGGAGGAATGGAAGGGAGGAAAGGTGGGAAGGGTGCGCTCGCACCACCATATCTGCCAGATTACCCCTCACATCCATCCCTTCCAGTTGCACTGACTTCTTTTCTATCCGCTGGCTGCGGTGCCCTTTATGACCTTGTTCCTCACTATGACCCCACTGTCCGATGCGCAGCGGGGAAAGGATGCGCGCATGGACGAAGAGGGGGGGGAATCAGCAGGAGCATCAGGAGGAAGAGCAGGACGATGATGAAGTAGGAGGAGCAGAAGAAGCAGGAACAGGAGTAGGAGGAGCAGGACGATCAGAGAAAGGTGGAGAAGGGTAGAGGACGGTGATGGCAACGACGATGAAGGAATCGGATCCAGAAGTGTGGCCCGCGCTGGGGCGACAGCGCAAATCTGAACGACGCCGAAAGATAAGCGCCGATCCTGAAAAGCGGCCAACAATGCCCTGGGGAAACACCATTTCTTCAGAACCGAAAACAGCCCGATAGGGGGAGGGCGGGGAACCACTTCGGAAAACATTAACACTTATATTCTTGAATGGGAAGATATGCCAGAGGGGCGCCCCTACACACAAATCAACAGAGATAGGAGGAGGGGAAGAAGGGGCAAGTCACGTGCTCTCGCGCCATATCTGACATCCTACCCCTCCCACCCATCCCTTCTCATGGCGCAGATTATTTCTCTATCCGCCAACGGGTGTCATAGCGGACCTTGAACCACCGAAAGACCCCCATCGCGTCATGCGCAATCAGACAAAGGGAGTGTATATTGGAGGAGGAAGTCGCAGATCAGCCTGAGGATGAGCAGGAGGAAGAGAATGAAGATGAGGAAGGATGGGGGCGAGGAAGAGCAGCACCAGCAAAAGCAGGCGCAGGAGGAGCAGAAGCAGAAGGACCAGGGGAAGGCGGAGAAAGAAAAAGGAGCGGGGCGACCAAGACGAGGAAGGAGCGCCATTCTGAACGACGAGTCGACATTAAAATGGGGCAACGCTGTAATTAGCGGGAGCCTCATCGTGAAGCACTGAACACGCTCCGATTGGAATAACAAGCTCGGAAAAAATACATTTCGACATCCTATGAGATATTATGTGAATGTGTAAAAAACAAAAAACACGGGAGACGAACTGCCCCGATAGGACAGGATCCAGGAAGAGCGGAGAGTAGTCATATTAAATATTGCGGAGAGGGGACAGAGAGGGGAGGGGGAGAGGAACGGTTTTTTGCATAAACGGCAAACGCCTTCACTGATCAACTGGTCAACGAAGCGGCACAGAGAGCCGGCCGGCAGGGGGGGGAGGAAACGAGCCCGGAGAGGGCGGACAAGACTCAGCACAGAAAACCCAAATGGCCAAGCCAACCAAACGCAGAAGTCAACCATAGCGGCTTCCAGGAAGGAGTGAGAGAGAGAGAGAGCTACAGATGGGAAAAGGGAAAAATCTGCTGAAAGAACACGCGCGGCGAGCCGGTCACAGCCAAAGGTTCCCCAGATCGCGCGGCGTTGGGGCGGATCGCCCAAGGAAAAGGGATGGGGCGCAAACTGTGGGAATTTCCCACCAAAGGCCCCGGAATACAGCAATTTGTTCCGTCGGCGGCGAGGCGGGGCAATCCGCTCCAGCGTGGCAGCGATACAGGGGCACTACAAAGCAAATTGGCCGTTATGCAGGAGGGGGAGGAGGAAGGACGGGGCGGCCGCGGGGGGGGAAGGCGAGCACTCAGAGGCGGAAGACTTCCAGCGTGAGCAGCCGGTGCGGCCCGCGGACGGCGGGGACGGCGTCTGGGGGGGGCGGCGCGCAGGCCAGGCAGACCGCGTCAGCAGGCACGATGCGCCGGGCAAGGGGAAACAGTGCAAGCGCCCGTGGGCTGCCCCGAGCAAAATGCTTATCCGGAGTACAGCAACATGAAAAGGCAAAAGGAGGTGGAAGGAAGAAAGAGAGAGAGAGAGGGAGAAGCAAATAAAAAGTTATCCCAGTGCGACCCTACCTAGGAGTTGGAACCCCTAGGAAAGCAGCATTAGTAGTAACAGTAACGCTAAGCTAAAGCTAAGCTAAAGCTAAGCTAAAGCTAAGCCACAGCTAAGCTAAAGCTAAGCTAAAGCTAAGCTAAAGCTAAGCTAAAGCTAACAGCTAAGCTAAAGCTAAGCTAAAGCTAAGCTAAAGCTAAGCTAAAGCTAAGCTAAAGCTAAGCTAAAGCTAAGCTACAGCTAAGCTCAAGCTAAGCTCAAGCTAAGCTAAAGCTAATATAAAGCTAAGCTAAAGCTAAGCTACAGCTAAGCTAAAGCTAAGCTAAAGCTAAGCTACAGCTAAGCTAGAGCTAAGCTAAAGCTAAGCTAAAGCTAAGCTAAAGCTAAGCGCTAAGTTACAGCTAAGCTCAAGCTAAGCTCAAGCTAAGCTAAAGCTAAGCTAAAGCTAAGCTAAAGCTAAGCTAAAGCTAAGCTAAAGCTAAAGCTAAAGCTAAAGCTAAAGCTAAAGCTCCCAGGGGACTGGGGGGAACCGCTCCCAGGGGACTGGGGGAACCGCCCGGGGCGTGTTCCATTGCCCGGCCCCTTTAAGCTAAGAGAGTAAGAACCCTTCTAGGCAGAGCCTAGGTAGAGAATTATTCTGGCAAAGGACCCAACCATATGCAGTTGTGGGTACCGCAATTGTGAAAATCTTCTTCGGTGAAACTCCCTATGGGCCACGAAGCGCTGCACTGGGTGGGGGGGAACGCTGTTCTGGGTGAGTGGTGTGTCAAGTAAGGCTTGCGGGACGCATGCGGACGGTCCCACTGGGGGCTTCGGTGGAGTTCCTGTGCGGCCACGAAACGCTGTACTGGGTAAGTGAAAATGCCGAATTGGGCTTCCGGGACGCATGCGGACGGTCCCACTGGAGGCTTCGGTGGAACTCCCTATGGGGCCACGAAACGCTGTACTGGGTGGGTGAAAATGCCAAATTGGGCTTCCGGGACGCATGCGGACGGTCACACTGGGGGCTTCGGTGGAGCTCACTAACGGGCAACGAAACGCTGTACTGGGTGGGAAAAAATGCCACGTTGGGTTTTCGGGACGTATGCGGACGGTGGCACTGGGGCCTTCGGTGGAGTTCCCTACGGGGCCACGAAATTCTGCACTGGGTGAGTGAAAATGCCACAATGAGTGTTTCGGGACGCTTGCGGACGGTCCCACTGGGGCCTTCGGTGGAGCTCCCTGTGGGGCCACGAAACGCTGCACTGGGTGGGTGAAAATGCCACATTGGGTGTGCGGGCGGGAAGCATGCGGACGGTCCCACTGGGGCCTTCGGTGGAGCTCCCTGTGGGGCCACGAAACGCTGTAATGGGTGGGTGAAAATGCCAAAATTGGGTGTTTCAGGACGCACTCGGACGGTCCCACTGGGGGCTTCGGTGGAGCTCCCTATGGGGCCACGAAACGCTGTACTGAGTGGGGGGGACGCATGTGGACGGTGGCACTGGGGCGCTGTCGGTGGAGGTGGAGCTCCCTATGGGGCCACGAAACGCTGTACTGAGTGGGGGGGACGCATGTGGACGGTGGCACTGGGGCCTTCGGTGGAGCTCCCTATGGGGCCACGAAACGCTGTACTGAGTGGGGGGGACGCATGTGGACGGTGGCACTGGGGCCTTCGGTGGAGCTCCCTATGGGGCCACGAAACGCTGTACTGAGTGGGGGGGACGCATGTGGACGGTGGCACTGGGGCCTTCTGTGGAGCTCCCTATGGGGCCACGAAACGCTGTACTGAGTGGGGGGACGCATGTGGACGGTGGCACTGGGGCCTTCGGTGGAGCTCCCTATGGGGCTACGAAACGCTGTACTGGGTGGGTGAAACGCACGCGGGGCGACGTCTCTTCAAAACGAGGACCCAACACCACAGGATGGTTGGGAACAAAGTGCAGACTAGCATTAAGAGGTAAACGATAAATAGCAATGCGTGTACGTAGCATGTTTTGGTATGCACGCCCAAACCCTGACGCTGGCAGCGAGCAGCCACGACCGTGCGAGCCAGGAGCGGTGTAGGCAACAACACAACAAAGAGCCGCGCCCAGACGGCGGATCGGCAGGAAATGTGCACATGCATACGTGGAAAATGTCACTGGGCCTCGGCCGGCAACCACTTGCAAGCTTTGCGCAAATGGCGCGCGAGGGTAAGCAGCAACACTCCGTCTGAAGAGGGTGGGGGGGGGCGGGGAGGGGACAGGGAGGAGGGAGGCGAAGGTGCGGTGTAGGACAGGGAGGGGACAGGGGAGGGGACAGGGAGGGGCGGGGAGGGGAGGGGACAGGGAGGGGACAGGGAGGAGCGGTGTAGGGGAAGGGGAATAAAGAGCGGTGTAGGGGAAGCTGAAGAGGGGAAGACCTTCTCCCCAAACCAGGCCCCCCTGACCCCCGACGACGACGACGACGACGACGACGACGACGACTAACAAAACGCCGGGGGCGTCGCTGCCCCCGCGCCGTAGCCCTCGTCCGCCGGGATCACGAGCATGCGCTCCTGGGCCGGTGGCGGTTTTTGGCCGCGCCCTCCTCCGGTTGGCGCTACGCTTGGTCATCTGTCCTCCTCTCCGGTGTTCCCAACCATCCTGTGGTGTTGGGTCCACGTTTTGAAGAGACAGCGCCCCGCGTCACTCCTCCCGCTGCCCCCTGCCCCCTCATCTCCCATCCGTGCCTCTCCTCCCATCCCTGCCTCTGTTCTCCGCATGTCCATTTCGGCACACCCCTCACATGTTTCGTGGCCCCGTAGGGAGCTCCACCGGAGGCCCCAATGGCAGGGTCCGCATGGCGCCTCCGCCCCATTTCGGCGCACCCCTCACACAGTTCGTGGTCCCATAGGGAGCCCCACCGAAGACCCCAGTGGCAGGGTCCGCATGGCGCCGCCGCCCCATTACGGCGCACCCCTCACACAGTTCGTGGCCCCACAGGGAGCTCCACCGAAGGTCCGCATGACGCCGCCGCCCCATTTCGGCGCACCCCTCACACCGTTCGTGGCCCCATAGGGAGCTCCACCGAAGGCACCGGTGGCAGGGTCCGCATGGCGCCGCCGCCCCGTTTCGGCCCCCCCCTCACACGGATCATGGCCCCATAGGGAGCCCCACCGAAGGCACCAGTGGCAGGGTCCGCATGGCGCCGCCGCCTCATTTCGGCACATCTCTCACACGTTTCGTGGCCCCATAGGTAGCTCCACCGCAGGCCCCAGAGACAGGGTCCGCATGGCGCCGCCGCTCTGTTTCGGCACCCCTCACACCGTTCGTGGCCCCATAGGGAGCCCCACCGAAGGCCCCAGTGGAAGGGTCCGCACGGCGCCGCCGTCGCAGATCGGCACACCCCGCACACGCTTCGTGGCCCCATAGGGAGCTCCACCGAAGGCCCCAGTGGCAGGGGCCACATGCGTCCCCCACACCCACTTCGGCACACTCCTCACACGTTTCGTGGCCCCATAGGGAGCTCCATCGAAGATGATGTCCACAACTGCGTTACCCGCAACTGCATATGGTTGGGTCCTTCGCCAGGCTAATTGGTCCTCGACCTCCTCCTCCTGCTCCTTTCTCCCCTCATCCTCAAACCCCCCGTTCCTCTCTTTTTCCTCCTGCTCCTTATCGTTCTCCAGCTTTCCCCACCCTCGTCATCCTCCTCCACGATATTCCATAATATCCGCCTGACCATGCCCCATGCAAATAGTCCAAGAGTATCTCAATCGGGGGCGCCGAAAAGACTGTGAGATATGACACAACCAGAAACGCACAACTTGAACCAAACAGCGACATGAGCAGTGCCCTTCCCCTGTTACATGGTGGCTGCATTCGAAAATACACACACACACACACACACACAGCATACGACCGCCCGTAAAGTGACAGGGTCTCAAAGAAAGCCTGTCGATAGACCCAGCAATGTGCAGCTGTGAGTACCGTCGTTGTGAGTATCGCCGTCGGTGGATTTCCGCATGGGGCCACGAAACGCGTGAAAGGTGCCGAAATGAGGCGAGGCCGCAATGCGGGCGCTGCCACTGGAGCCTCTGAGCATCGCGAAGACAACGACATGAAGGAGGGGACCCGCAACAGCGGCCCCTGGGGCTTTCGGTGGCGAGCCTTATGGGGGGCCACGAAACGTTTGAGCAGAGCACCGACATGTAAGCGAAACCGCGTGAAGGCACTGCCACTGCTCCCTATGGGGCCATGAAACGTGTGAGCGGTGCACCGAAACGGGGGTGGAACTGCATACGGGCGCTGCCAGTGGGGCATTCGGTGGGGTTTCCTCAGGGGCCACAAAACGTATGAGGGACTCGCCGAAATGGACGGTGGAACCGCATGCGGGCAATATCGTTGGGGCCTTCGGTGGAGCTCCCTCTGGGGCCACGAAGCGTGTAAGGGGTGTGCCGAAAGCAAAAGTGAAACTGCATGCGGGCGCTGCCCCTGGGGCCTACGGTGGACCTCCCTATGTGGCCACGAAACGTGGAAAGGGTGCACCGAAATGGAGGTGGAACCACATGCGGGCAATGCCACTGGGGCCCTTGGTGAAGCTCGCCATGGGGCCACGAAACGTAGGCGGGGCGCACCCACATGGAAGTGGAACCGCATGTAGGCGCTGCCCCTTGGGGCCCTTGGGGCATTCGGTGGAGCTCCCTATAGGGCCACGAAACGTGTGAAGGGGTTCGCCGACATGGGGGTGGAACCGCATCCCGGCGCTGCCACTGGGGCCTTCGGTGGAGCTCCCCATGGGACCGAGCGGTGCACCGACATGGAGGTGGAACTGCACTGCCACTGCAACCTTCGGTAGAGTTCTGTATGAGGCAACAAAACGTGCGAAGGGTGCACTGATATGGGGGCGCAACTGCATGCGGGCGCTGCTACTGGAACTGCATGCGGGCGCTGCCACTGCGGCCTTCGGTGGGGCTCCGTATGGGGCCACGAACCGTGTGGGGGGTGTGCCGAAGCTGATGGGGATGACGATGATGACGATGGCGATGATGGTAATATGATGATGCTGCTGCTGCTGCTGCTGCTGCTGCTGATGATGATGATGATGATGATGATGATGATGATGATGCTGCTACTTACTCACTCATTCAGTCAGTCAGTCAGTCATTCACTCATTCATTCATTGATCCAGTCATCCCCCATATGAGCGGCCTGGCCAGCACAGGGTCAAGACAGCGAGATCGCCTAAACTTGGAACTCGGGCCTCAATCAAAGAGAGAGCGTGATCACCCGCCGCTGTACTGTGGAAAATTCCCCCCCTCTTCCTTCGGAACCCGGGAGACCCCCCCCCTCCGAACACCCCTTTCCCCCTTTCCGCCCGCAACCCCCCCCCCGGGAAAACTGGAAAGGGTCACTTCCGGTTCGAACCCCCCCCGGAAAATCGGGGGAAGTCACTACCGCTTCGAAACCCCACCCCACCCCAATTGCTGCCGGCTAACGAATCCCAGGTCGCCGCCACCGTCCTCACCACCGCCCTCACCACTGTTCCCACCACCGCCGTCCCCACCTCTGTCCCACTGCCCCCTTGTCCCCACCACTGTCCCACTGTCCCCACTGTTCCCACCACTGTCACTACCAGTGCCCCCACCAACGTCGCACTGACCGCAATGTCCCCACCACTGTCCCCACCACGGTCGCAATCCCCCCACTGTCCCCACTTTCCCCACCACGGTCCCACTCTTCCCACTGTCCCCACCACTGCCCACTGTGTTCTCCCCACTATTCCCACCACTGTCCCACTGTCCCCACCATCCCCACCATTGTCCCCACTGTCCCATTGTCCCACCACGGTCCTCAGCACCGCCCTAACCACTGTCCCCACCACCTCCGTCCCCACCACTGTTCCGCTGTCCCCACTATCCCCACCACTGTCCCACTGTCCCCTGGCCACTGCCCCCACCACCAACGTCACAACTGTCTCACTGTCCCCATTTCGCCCACAACTGTCCCACTGTCCCCACTGTTCCCCCAATGTCCCCGCTGTCCCCACCAGTGCACCCCACCACTGTCGCACTGTCCCCAGTATCCCCACCACTGTCCCCACCACGGTCCCACCCTCCCCAATGTCCCCACTGTCCCCACCACGGTCCCACTCTTCCCACTGTCCCCAAATCTGTCCCACTGTCCTCACTGTCCCCACCACTGTCCCACTGTGCTGTCCCACTGTCCCCACCACTGTCCCACGCTCCCCAGTGTCCCCACCATGTCCCCCACTGTCCCACTGTCCCCATCGTCCCACCACCGTCCTCACCACCGCCCTCACCATTGTCCCCACCACCACCGTCCCCACAACTGTCCCACTGTCCCCACCAGTGTCCCACTGTCCCCTTAGCATTCTCCCCACCACCACCGTCCCCACCAGTGTCCCACTTTCCCCACTGTCCCCAGCACTGTCCCACTGTCCCCACTCTTCCCACCAGTGTCCCCACTGTTCCCACCAGTGCCCCCACCAGCGTCGCACTGTCCCCAATGTCCCCACCAGTGTCCCCACCACGGTCCCACTCTCCCCACTGTCCCCACTGTCCCCACCACTGTCCCACTGCCCCAACTCCCCACCACCATCCCCGCCACCGTCCCAACCACTTCCCCCACCACAATCACCCACCCATCCAAACTGGGGGAGGAGCGGGACTCGTTTGCCGGCGGCGAGAAAAGGGGGAGTCTCGAACCGGCAACGACCCTACCCCCCGGTTTTCCAGGGGAGGTGGCGGGGATTCGAACCAGTAGCGATCCCCCTCTTATTCACGATGGACCGGGGGGCGGGGGAAGTGGTTGGAACCCCCAGTGACCCCCCCCGCTTTCGGGGGGGAGGGGGGGCGGCTAGAAGCCCCCAGTGACCCCCACTGGTTTTCTGCCAGCAGCGGCAGAACACGCTCTTTCCAATGAATCAACGTGTCTTAATTCATCACTCGAAAAGGAGCACAGCCACTGATTTGGCACTCTACGGCACTGCCCACTGAGCACAGCCCCCCCAAGGGCCCAGAAGCTCCAGGGAGGGAAAAACGCTCGGTGTCCTTCAAGGCGGACTTCAGGGCGCCGCTCACGCCAGCGTTACTGAAAGTAAAGAACCACGGAGTTCCAGAAACCCCCGACTCCGAGACAACTTTGACCTCCAGAATCTCCAGAGTCTCCCAGGCGAGAGAACTCGGAGGAGGGCGGGGAAGCGCGAGAGCGCGGAGAGGGGCGCAGCCGCTCTGACACCCGCGGACGGCGTCGGCACTGGCCGCGGCGGCGGCGCCCACCGCCACTGGCCGGAGACTGCGAGGGGAAGGACTCCCTCAGACGTCGCGCGGCAGTGCTGCGAAAAAAATCCCGCTCCCGATTCGATCCTCGTTCGCGGGGCCGGGCCCGGTACCCCCTTAAGTTCAAACGACTCTGGATGACCTCCCGCGCGTTCGGCCCCTGGGCAGGCCGCCAGCTCTCTCGACGCCCCCCTGGGCCCTCAGCAAGCACGACTGGATCTCCACTGCCACGGTGCGATGCTCCGGGGTCGTGAACAGCTCAGTACGATACATAT